TCGCGTATTTCCATTTTCGTTTCGAGTAGTTCATGAATGATTTCGGTGGTATTTTCTTGGTCGCGTTCAGGTATATTAAAGAACAGTAGATTGTCGCGCATGGATCTCGCTTGTAGGTCTACTATTTTGTTACGCAATGTGGCGTTGTCTTGCTCCAGTTTTCCTATTCTTTCTCTTGTTTGTTCTTGATTTACTTTGTTTGTTTCATTTTGCTGTTTTAAATCTGCTATTTCAGCATGCGCGTATTCCAAGGAATGTTTTATCTCTTTCATGTCTGCTTCTATTCCGTCAAGCTTCTCAAGTTTCGTCATCATAGTCGAAAACATTTGTTGAATTTGGCGCATATCTACTTCTTTTTCTCCTTCTTTTTCTTCCATTCTTCTCTCTGGTGTGTTGGGTTTAGGAATTTTAGTTTGGACTGCTTTTAAAGGCGTACATGGGTTGGTGATATTTAAATTTTGCGCAGCGCGCTTGGTGGCTTGCTTCCTGTCCGCCATGTTTGATATTGATTTGCAGCGTATTATTATATCGCAATAAGCTCTTGCAATTACTCTTTCTGATGTAAAATAAAGGAGAAAATTTCCCTTGTTTACATTACTTGCGCAAATTCATATATGTTCGCTTAGCTCTTGTTTCATTGAGTATATACTGTCACTGAGTACGGAGTGTCACACTACAGAAAGCCGGGCGGCCCCCACGTATAACAATTACATATTGATTTGCAGCGCATTATTATATCGCAATAAGCTCTTGCAATTACTCTTTGTTATGTAAAATGAAGTAGAAAATTTCTCTTGTTTATTTACATTACTTGCGCAAATAATTCTCAATTATCTAAACACATTGGCTTAATTTCAATCTAATATCGTATAGATTTCCTTCTTTTATGAACAACTGAAATATACATTTAAAAACAGATATTTCATAGGAGTATGGTCCTATTCAGTATAAAAAAGCGATTGAACTTTGATAGTTTGATTGTACAACTTCTACTAGAGTAAGATCATGATTGTCTTATATGTAACCTGAAAGCAAGTATAACTTCAGCAGCTTAGCAGAGCCACCTTAACTAAAGACGTAAATAGTACACGCCGCCAACACATATAACAATGATATTCGATATTTTTATTCAGAATAAATTAGCACAAGTGTCTTGTACAAGGTTAAATGCATTTTTCGTGGAAATAAACATGTAGCAATTTTCAGACAATCTTGGCCAAAAGTTCGTAGAACGACAAAACAAATTCGCAACTTTTTAATGTACTTGGGTTTTAAAATCATTTTGCACCTCCCCCGCTCCCCCCATTCAATGTTGCTCTCCCACATTTCTAGTACACGTACAATTTTGTTGTAGAGTAGGTCAGATCATAAATATACACGAAACGGCAACATTGAATGGGGGGAAGGGGGGCGCGAGGCCTTAAAAATGCATAAAAATTTATCGTCGTCCTACTGTTTATGGCCAAGATTGTCCGAAAATTATGTTTTTAATGCTTTACATATACATGTATTAAATTTAGAACACCAGTGGTAGAAATATTCAAAAATGTAGTTATGTTCTTGCACTACTGGATAACACTTCAAAAGTCGTTCTGATATTCCTAAATATTGAATGATAGGTAGATATTAATAAATATTGTATACTGTAATTTGAGACCGGATTTCTGGGTAGGGCCTTAATCTTCTCTTCAAATGGCATATATGTCTATTTTGAACCGGACAGTAATGGTTATAAAGGCAGACTGATACAACGTAATTATACATATATTTTAGTATACATATTTTCAGTTAAAGCGACACACGCTAATTGACAAATAGAATTTTTAATTAATCTTGCTGTGTAAGATCCAACACATCATAATTATAGATATGAGGAATATATCGCGTGCGCAACAACGAATCGTGTTCATAGCCACGTACAGCAGAGCGGACACTCAGAAATTTCTTACAAAAAAAAGCTTTGCTGATGCCATTGTAGAGGCATGCATGCATAGACCGTGTCAGGCTTTACAATTCAACATTGGGTCGTCCTTATGATGTGATGTTGACCAAATAATTAAGTCTGGTGCCGTATCGGACAAAATATTAATCTATATATACATATAAATGAACTCTAGTAGCTTAATAACTAACTGACAGTACTCATGCACAGTACTCACAGTAATTGCTTAATTTTTCGTCGGATTGTAAATAAATACATAAAATATACACAACATTTTGTTCATTGTTACTGTCCTTACAATCTCATGGTAAATAGGTAAAACAAATTGTATATTTGAAGCAATAATTGACATTACTCATTAAAAGCTCCAAACTTAATATGAGATATAGACATTGTCTTAACTCATGTTATGGCGAGTACTGTGACTGTCCTTTCCAAAGGCCCAATTTTCCTACAAAATACCAACAAACAGAATTGCGACACTTATGCCAACATTTAAAAACATTTTATTTCAGACAGTGAAATCATATATGTTCGCTTAGCTCTTGTTTCTTTGAGTACTGTCACTGAGTACTGAGTGTCACGATACAGAAAGCCCGGCGGCCCGCGCGTCTAACAATTACATATTGATTTGCAGCGTATTATTATATCGCAATAAGCTCTTGCAATTACTCTTTCTGATGTAAAATAAAGGAGAAAATTTCCCTTGTTTACATTACTTGCGCAAATTCATATATGTTCGCTTAGCTCTTGTTTCATTGAGTATATACTGTCACTGAGTACGGAGTGTCACAATACAGAAAGCCCGGCGGCCCCCACGTATAACAATTACATATTGATTTGCAGCGCATTATTATATCGCAATAAGCTCTTGCAATTACTCTTTGTTATGTAAAATGAAGTAGAAAATTTCTCTTGTTTACATTACTTGCACAAATAATTCTCAATTATCTAAACACATTGGCTTAATTTCAATCTAATATCATGTAGATTGCCTTCTTTTATGAACAACTGAAATATATATTTAAAAACAGATATTTCATAGCAGTATGGTCCTATTTATAAAAAAGCGATTGAACTTTGATTGTACAACTTCTACTAGAGTAAGACCATGATTGTCTTATATGTAACCTGAAAGCAAGTATAACTTGAGCAGCTTAGCAGAGCCACCTTAACTAAAGACGTAAATAGTACACGGCGCCAACACATATAACAATCATATTTGTGATATTTTTATGCAGAATAAATTAGCACAAGTGTCTTGCACAAGGTTAAATGCATTTTACGTGGAAATGAACATGTAGCAATTTTCAGACCGAAAATTATGTTTTTAATCCTTTACATATATATGTATTAAATTTAGAACACCAGTTGTAAAAATATTCAAAAATGTACTTATGTTCTTGTACTACTGGATAACACTTCAAAAGTCATTCTGGTATTCCTAAATATTGAATGATAGGTAGATATTAATAAATATTGTATACTGTAATTTGAGACCGGATTTCTGGGTAGGGCCTTAATCTTCTCTTCAAATAGCATATATGTCTATTTTGAACCGGACATTAATGGTTATAAAGGCAGACTGATACAACGTAATTATAGATATATTTTAGTATACATATTTTCAGTTAAAGCTACACCACGCCAATTGACAAATAGAATTTTAAATTAATCTTGCTGCGTAAGATCCAACATATCATAATTATAGACATGAGGAATATATCGCGTGCGCAACAATGAATCATGTTTATAGCCACGTACAGCAGAGCGGACACTCAGAAATTTCTTACAAAAAAGAGCTTTGCTGATGCCATTGTAGAGGCATGCATGCATAGACCGTGTCAGGCTTTACAATTCAACATTGGGTCGTCCTTATGATGTGATGTTGACCAAATAATTAAGTCTGGTGCCGTATCGGACAAAATATTAATCTATATATACATATAAATGAACTCTAGTAGCTTAATAACGAACTGACAGTACTCATGAACAGTACTCACAGTAATTGCTTAATTTTTCGTCGGATTGTAAATAAATACATAAAATATACACAACATTTTGTTCATTGTTACTGTCCTTACAATCTCATGGTAAATAGGTAAAACAAATTGTAGATTTGAAGCAATAATTGACATTGCTCATTAAAACCTCCAAACTTAATATGAGATATAGACATTGTCTTAACTCCTGTTATGCATGGCGAGTACTGTGATTGTCCTTTCCAAAGGCCCAATTTTTCTACAAAATACCAACAAACAGAATTGCGACACTTATGCCAACATTTGAAAACATTTTATTTCAGACAGTAAAGCCCGGCGGCCCGCGCGTCTAACAATTACATATTGATTTGCAGCGTATTATTATATCGCAATAAGCTCTTGCAATTACTCTTTCTGATGTAAAATGAAGGAGAAAATTTCCCTTGTTTACATTACTTGCGCAAATTCATATATGTTCGCTTAGCTCTTGTTTCATTGAGTATATACTGTCACTGAGTACGGAGTGTCACAATACAGAAAGCCCGGCTGCCCCCACTTATAACAATTACATATTGATTTGCAGCACATTATTATATCGCAATAAGCTCTTGCAATTACTCTTTGTTATGTAAAATGAAGTAGAAAATTTCTCTTGTTTACATTACTTGCGCAAATAATTCTCAATTATCTAAACACATTGGCTTAATTTCAATCTAATATCGTATAGACATATATGTTCGCTTAGCTCTTGTTTCATTGAGTATATACTGTCACTGAGTACGGAGTGTCACAATACAGAAAGCCCGGCTGCCCCCACTTATAACAATTACATATTGATTTGCAGCACATTATTATATCGCAATAAGCTCTTGCAATTACTCTTTGTTATGTAAAATGAAGTAGAAAATTTCTCTTGTTTACATTACTTGCGCAAATAATTCTCAATTATCTAAACACATTGGCTTAATTTCAATCTAATATCGTATAGATTGCCTTCTTTTATGAACAACTGAAATATATATTTAAAAACAGATATTTCATAGCAGTATGGTCCTATTTATAAAAAAAGCAATTGAACTTTGATAGTTTGATTGTACAACTTCTACTAGTGTAAGACCATGATTGTCTTATATGTAACCTGAAAGCAAGTATAACTTGAGCAGCTTAGCAGAGCCACCTTAACTAAAGACTTAAATAGTACACGGCGCCAACACATATAACAATCATATTTGATATTTTTATGCAGAATAAATTAGCACAAGTGTCTTGCTCAAGGTTAAATGCATTTTACGTGGAAATGAACATGTAGCAATTTTCAGACAATCTTGGCCATAAACCGTAGAACGACGATAAATTTTTATGCATTTTTAAGGCCGCCCCCCCCCATTCAATGTTGCCGTTTCGTGTATATTTATGATCTGACCTACTCTACAACAAAATTGTACGTGTACTAGAAATGTGGGAGAGCAACATTGAATGGGGGGAGCGGGGGGGAGGTGCAAAATGATTTTAAAACACAAGTATATTAAAAAGTTGCGAATTTGTTTTGTCGTTCTACGGACTTTTGGCCAAG